AGAGAAGCTGTGGCGGGTGAGGTGGATAGAGAAGCAAAGAATACTTAGAAAAGGTATACACTAAATTGAAAAAAGAAAAAAAAAAAAGGCATTTTTTTCATTCTAGAACAGAAGTGTTCCCTTTTGGGATTTTATCTGTATAAATGATAGCAACACATGTACAATGGTGTGAGTATGCTGGTAAAGTCACCTGCACATATTGGCACATATAGGATATCTACAGTACCAATCTTAGCCTTTTCTGTCATTGTCACACCAGGGATCACTATACAATTAAAAATTAAACCTTAAGAGGTATTCAGGTCAGAAAACCAATCATTCTTCCATAGTTTCAACAACAAACTATTTAAGACCAAAATGGTACAACGTGAGTTCAGCCCATCTATATCAAGCTTGCCACGGAAAATAGGAAGATCTATCACAATTGCTTGTTAAATGCCAGAAAGCCTCATTAACTGAGATAGAGAAGCTTCAGTTTTACATCAATGGGAAATATAGTAACTTCGAATGAGTTATCTTTAAGCTGTAATGCATCTTAGAAAAAAAAAGCATCAAGTAGGAAAGCAGAGTTTTGTTTCCAACCAACTCTCTTTCTCTGGCAAGCTGCTGCACAAGTTAGCAGAGGTCTCAAGTGGTCCAGAACCCTGGAACAGGATCATAATCCCAGGAAAAAAAAAAGGTTAGTCAACAGTTTGCAGGCAGGATGTCAAAGATGCAGATAAATTACAGCCTCCTACCATACATTCATTGGTTTCATGAATCTGGTTTAACTATGCGGCTCTGGCCCCAGATCTGTCCCACAAATACTTCTCTCACAAGATTTTATGTCAAAAAAACCAAAACCCAAACCAAAAGCCACCCTCTGACATCCTTCTTAGTTAGCATTTTAGCAGCCTACTACTTCGTGGTCAATACCCAAGAACATGGTGTGTTGCAATCAGTACAGTCTGATCTAAGACCATGTTGCTGCCAAAACAAATGGTGATGCTAAGGAGAGGGTGGGGAAAACACGGCTGTAAAAGGAAGGAGAAAGGCAGGGCTGTTGCATTTGTAGCACTCAGTCACATAATCATAAAAGCAGCCACAGCAGAGCAACCAAAATCAACTTAGGCAAATATCCTGTCTCCCACAATGGTCAAAAGTGGATATCTAAGGAAGAGTATAGGAAACGGGGAAGTGCGCACAATACCTTCCCCAAATACTCTCCTAGCCTAAAGCCATTTATGGCTCAGATTCCCCCAGCTGAAAGTGGTTTCTACGTATTCAGTAACCTTAAAGGATTTCCTTTCTATTAATCTTCCAGCCTTCACCTCATACTGGACCGAATAATGTTTCACGTGAAGAAAAACTGCTATAACAGTGCAGTACCAGATGTTATCATTTAAGGACATAATCAAGGAAAATATTCTCAAGAGCAGCTACAGTTTCTATTAAACCAACTTCTTTATCTGGAGAAAAAAGCAACATAAGAAATTAATCTGCTTCTTTAGGTGTGAATGCTTTTCCCATAGCTTTAGTCAAGGCTCTGTTTGCTCCCATGATTGTTATTTCTGAAAGCTGCGATCCCTACGGATTATTCAGCAGCTTCAGCATTATACTGATGTTGCTGTTACCCACTAATTCGCCCTAAGGTGGTTCAGAGCCTATTATTTGCCAGAAAGCACAATCTGAATGTTCCTATTCTTCAAAATGAGGATTGTATACATTAACATCACAAGAGTGTATCAATAAACACAAAGCAAATCCTAAGAAGCCTTTGTCTTCTCCTCCTGAGAAAGAAATGCCTGTCATTATCTGATACTTGCCACTGAAAGGTAAGGATTGATACTCTCCCTGGGCTTCACAAGACATTTTGGCCAGAATACTTCTATTCCCACACCCCGCAGGCTTGGCCTTCGTATCAAAATATGCTGGCATGGGCAGAGTATTCCACCTGGGACAACTGATTCAACATCGTAACACTAGATGCCAGAACGCCAAAGCAAGCGTGTACTTATCCATCTCTGGCTTAAAGAGGAACAACCGAGCTTAAAACAACAGCCGAGTATACCTATTAAATCAGAAACCATTTACTTTCTTTTGAAAGCATGGGAGCAGCAAACTGACAATCAATATGTCATTGCTCTTTCCAAATCTGGCTTACGCAACTGGGCCTTTATAAAAATCATGAACAGATTAAGTCAGATATGACCTCATTCGCATCTCCCTTTTGTGCTAACAGCCACAACCTTATTAGGTAAGGAAAAGACATGGACATTTAGCTTAATATACTTCCAACGTGATACACCCTCCCCAGCCAAACCAGAAACATACAGATATTCTGCGATACACTTGACGTTTCCTTTGGGCCATCTTCTGGTGCGTCAGAGGAGGACATTGGATCTGCAGCAGCCTGTATGAGACAAATTCAAAAGGAGGCTGGGAATTATAATGAAATGTTTTAATACATCTTTCCGCTTGCGAGTTTGCTCGACTTGAACCTATATATAATATTCAAGCAAGTAAATAATTTAAGCAGTGTCAACAATTCAAAACGTCTGTGGTTTTACAACTGTTTTTCTCCTAGCTGGGTAAGTATGAGAAAGAACATATTAAAAACTATTTCATGCCTATTTCAAAGGATAATATTTATACCTGACATGGAGTTTTAGAAAAAAATCTGATTCTAGAATAAAAAGAACAAATTTATCTCTAACACTACTATAGCGCTTCCTGTGTCAGAAACTAAAATGTGCACTGATTATTATAATACCATAGCCGTTTATAAGATGGCATATTTGACTCAACTACCAGTCAGCATTAGTCTGTCAGGAGTCTGACAAAGTTAATCAGCGTTCATAAGCATTCACATATCCATTCAAGAACGGTCCGCTCAAGTATTTTATTCTGTTAGAATAAGTGTAAGGTAACTACACAACATGCACACCCAATCTTATAAAATTTATGTGTATGTTGACTTTATATACATCAGAAATCAAAGTCAAAGTCAAAATGAAATGCATCTGCACAGTTTTGTTCCCTAAAGGATCAGACGTTAATTGAAAAGATTCCTAAAGACTGACTTTTAAATATTATCACTAGAATTATATGAGGCAAGCCTTTGACTAACAAAATCTTTCTTATTTTTAACTAACAGGCAAGTTTTAAAACCCGTGCACAGAATTCAAACAATCCCAGTCATTCAGCCTATGGCATCCAAGCTGGAGAGGCAGAGTTAAGGCAGAAAAGAGAGACTCAAGAATGAGGGAAAACTCAACTATAAACTATCTTTAGGCAACTATATTAATTCAAATTTGAATCAGGATGACTACTGGGAGAATTTGGAATTCTTGAACAACATCAAGTCAAAAAGTTAGAGATAGAGGATGAGAATCCATCACCATTCAAGTACCTTCCAAATGAAAGGCAGTACTTAGGAGTCAGCAAGCAGGCAGCCAAACTCTCCTGAAGGATGTCAGCTTTTTAGCTAGAATGACTGGTTTATTTACTTTGTACTTAACCTGGTAAGATTTAAAACAGGACTGTACAAAGCACATCCAATTGTTAAGAGCTTTCAACATGAGTAATTAATTTCTTCTTGCATTCCATTATGGCAAACAATAGTTTTCAGATAATAAATCCTGGGTGTCTTACCTTGGCCCCACTGAAAGTAAGGCAAAATTTATCATGCATTTCATGGAGTAAGACCAAAAAGTACAACAGCTCTACAGTGCAAAGTTTAAAACATTCACAGCAACATATCATCCTTTCACTACAAAGCAAGAGTCTGTTCATGGACAACTGCTGCAATTACACCGCAAATTGCAATTACATTCACAAACCTAATTTAACACCAGCTCAGCTTTTGATCGCAACATATGGCTTGACTCTACTGCTTGCATATGTAACTCTAGTCACAAAAATATTTTGAAAAATATATCCATCTGTAACATATGGAATTAATCCTGTCACTTATGCTGGCTTTGTCATTGTAACACTACAACGTTGCAGTGGGAAAAGCACTAAGCAGCACATTAAGAGTCTGTCATTCCTTTTTTAAGTTTTCTTAAAATTAACTAACAGGACACAGGAACTGACATTCTTATATCTCATAAGTAAAAAATTTCCTGAGCTTCACCTATTACACCAGAAAAAGGTTTTGAGATATATGGATATGAAAGGAGAAGAAAAGGAACAGAAAGGGTAGAAAAAAGCACCTCGGTTTAATTTGGCAAGGTACTTAACCTATGTACAGTGAGATCATTCATATACAATTTGTGCAATTTACTCACAAACCATTTTTTCCTCCTAAAGGTTTAAGCTCATAGGTTAGAGTATTTTCTGCAATTCCTCACTTGGAAGTAAATTAATACAAAAGACCCTTTTTAACTTTTGCAATTGTAGAGAAAAGGACCCTGAAAAGAACCAGCTAAATGTGGCAAAACAATAGCATTCAGCCCTGGACCCCTTTTAAAAGCACTCAGCCCTGGACTCCCCTACACTGGTGGTCTCCACCCCCGACTTCGCAGACGTTCCCTGAGGATGAGTGGAAGAACCTGGCTGATTCAGATCTGTCTTGACCTTCCCTGCAATTCTACTGAGAAAAAGACTTCAGCTCCAAGCCCTACCTCCGGCTGTTGCTCCTCTTGCATCCCTGCACTGTAGGCTTATTTTCACCAACCACGCAAGAACTGTAGGAAGTAAAAGGAATGGAAGAGAATTAAAAATTAATGGCATAACCCAGCATATTTGTTTAAGAACTGTAAAAAAAAAAAAAAAAAAAAAAAAAGCAAGCAAAAGATGTCTCTACAATCTCTGATAGAAGTTGAAGTAATAAATGCAGCAAACTGAAGATGCACAAATGCCACCTTTTCAACTCTGCTGCTGTGACCCCCCCCCCCCCAA